AAAAAAAAAAAAAAGGAAAACTGTTTAGCGTTGGAGATAGCCACTGGTTATTAAATATTAATGGCGAAAATAAAATGGAATGAATTTTTCTGGAAATAGTATGGATGTGTGTAAAAAATTTCGTTTCGCTAACACAAATAAAAGTGTGTTAATAAAATATTTAGGAAATAAAGGATAACGAGGATTGTAAAAGTGAAACACATTTAATGATGATTGTAGTAAATATAAGAAAAGGTAAGACGATAAAAAATTAATAAAAACTGTGGTAATGGAAATCCGTTTGTAAAAAAAAATTAGAATTTTTTTTTCATAACGTATGTTTGACAACAAATATAAGATAATAAAGTTTTTTTTTAAATTAATTTTCATGTTTCGATTTATTTTATCACCTGGGTTAATTACGTTTATGCCTATACCTTCGTGTGCAAAAACTAACCCATGATAGTGAAAAAAAAAGTATGAAAAAAAAAATTTTAATTTCAATTTTCTAAAAACTCTGTATTAATATGATGATGAAAAATCGTTCTATTTCGTTGATTGTAATCACAAAGGCAAGTTTCTTTTAAATATAAAAAATGTAAAATTATTCCCTCATCAAAAGTGTAAAAATTGTAGTCCTTTTCGGACCAGTGTAAGTAAACCACGGCTAAAAGACCCTATTATCATTGACATAAACTTTATAACTTTTAAAGAATGAACGAACAAACGAAGATGCCTTGATTTTATTCCCCAGAGAGAGATCGTGACAAGGAGTACCTAACTAGGTAGTGCGATTCAATTTGAGCGTAACAAGGTCTCGACAGCCTTAGTATCGATTCACCAGTAGCGCGGGGAGAAACACGGCTGTAGGTACTACATTTCCAGTTGTTGCCTGTAACTAAACGTGTGTTACATATGCATTGCATTGCATGCATATTCAAAAATTTACCTTTTTTTGGCCATTTATTCATCTGCAAGTCCCGAGACGTGTGGTCGAATAGGTACACGCCCTTGAAACATTTTTCCGTTTGATTCTAATGACAATCGTCTATATAGGAATTGCAGACAACAATATAGGGCATCGTGAAAAATGTCACATGATTGTGGGACGTTTTTTCTCTAGATACCAAAAAAGCTCTCTAGATGACAAATTGCGCAAAAAAAAGAAAGAATTCTGTGTTATAATCGTAGTTGAAAAGTAGTCTATTTTTTTATTTTTGAACAAAATAATATTACCCTAGACAAAAGCATGTAAAAAAAAAGAGTTAGTTTTTTTGAGCACGTAAAGTCAAAAGGAAATTATTATTTGTATATATGTCTCTCGTCTCTATAAATTCAACTTCAACGAGGTTTGACTCTTAGTATGTTAGTGTAAAAAAATAACAAATATTCGTAAATTTCCATAACAAGCTCTCAGAACTTTCTACTTTACTAATGATTCTTTTTTTTTTTTTTTTTTTTTTTTTTTTTTTTTTTTTTTTTTTTTCTTTTTTTTTTTTTTTTTTTTTTTTTTTTTTTTTTTTTTTTTTTTTTTCATTTATTTTTTGGTATTATTCCTTTATTTCCTTTCTTTATTTTAGGATTGCTAATTTGAACGTTTGCCAATAANTAACTCTTAGTATGTTAGTGTAAAAAAATAACAAATATTCGTAAATTTCCATAACAAGCTCTCAGAACTTTCTACTTTACTAATGATTCTTTTTTTTTTTTTTTTTTTTTTTTTTTTTTTTTTTTTTTTTTTTTCTTTTTTTTTTTTTTTTTTTTTTTCATTTATTTTTTGGTATTATTCCTTTATTTCCTTTCTTTATTTTAGGATTGCTAATTTGAACGTTTGCCAATAATGTGAATGGTTTTATACAATAGCTTTGTCGACTCTGAATCGCGATTTTCCGCGAACTCCGGGCAGATGGTTTTTCTACAATTTTCATACGAATCGTATGATACGATTTTGCTAGTAAGTTGCTAGCTTCTGAATTAACTGCAATTCGGGAATCCAGAAAAATTCAAAATTGATAAAAATGATGCTGTAAACATTTACTCTCAAGTTTTCATTGATAAGACTTTGATAACTTATCGATACACCCTTAATTGAAAATATATTTTAGTTAAATCTCAAAGGATTAACAATGAAAAAAAAAAAAAAAAAATTTGAAGCAATATAGAATAGCATCATTTTTTAATAACAACACTTTGATTGTCATTGTTGAAAAATTGGTGATTTTGTGCATTGATAACTTACGTCAGATTTTACTAATTTTCGAGGTTACAATTTTCATCAAAAATTCGTTGTACGTAACGCAGAATACAAGAGATTGCCTATAAGAACTGATGTGGAAGAGCCTACAATGTCGCAATTTCTTAGAATTCATTACCTTAACGTAAATTTACATTGACAATCATACATATATATAATTTATTGGCTTTCATAACAATGATACACACCTATACTGCCAGTTCAAAATTTCAAATTTTAGAAACCATCAGCGCCATCTAGCGAGAGCTAGACAATACATTTTTCAAACAATCGCTCGATCGACAACACAGGCTTCTGACTTACCCAGTTTCTGCCCCCCTCTCCAAAACGAGCAGCCGGGCATAAATTGTGTGTGCTCGAGTCTCGTTGCGAACTTACTTACTTATAGGTAAGTAGGTGAGCATCAAAAATAAAAAATGGCTGCGTCGTCATTGGCGGCGGCAGTGTAGGCGCACACGCGCGCATTGCACGCTTTCGCCGATTCTGCGGGACAAAAACATCAGTATGTAATCGGATTTTGCTCGTAGAATCGCGAATTAAGTATTTTGCATATCTATAACATCACCTTTGATTTAGGTACCTATTAGAATTACGTATAAAAAGAAAGCATCATCACACAATCTGCACGCGCGCGCGCGCGCCGGCTATCGCTATAATTCACAATCTCGGAATTGTCATATTTGTTTATTTGTTTTTTATTTTTATTTTAAAATTGTACACATACGCATCACTTGTCTTGCCATTGACGGAAAAAGAAGAATATCTTGACGATTACCGTTCGTTCAATTGTTTTTATACTTGCTGGTGTGTAACCCCTTATTCAAGGTAGGTTAGGAGTCACATTTTTTATTTTTGTTGTTACGATGACAATTATGGCTGAAAATGCGAGGTGTGTGGAGTCTTCACGGAATATTGACATTACCGAGTGGGTCTAAATCAATGTCACGATAAACTTGTTAATAGAAACAATTAAATTTCATCTGTTTGATGAATTTCCTTGGTAAATCTTGCAAGGCGTGGCAGTGCTACTCAAAGCGAATAACTTTTATTTAAAATCTTTTGTAGCCATCGAGTGGTAATTTTACTTTTGAAATGCTACCAAACTAGTAATTCGTTTGGTATTCTAGTGATTTAAATACGTAGTGGAACACTTATCTTATGCAATGTTATTTTATTGATGCATTTTGTTAGTAGAACCGTGCGAGCTGACAACTTGAACCATATAAATAATGACGAAAGGTACGCTGGTAGCGCGACCGATTGAAAAAATGAAAGCCAAAGAAATGGCTCTTAAAATGGAGTGCACAGACGAGCCATTGACACCGTGTCAAGAGGCAGCAAGAAAGAAAATCAAAGATGAATGCAGCAAGGTATATGTTATAACATGTCATTGTCAGATGCCCAATCGAATGAGCACTCGTAATTATGTACCAATGATTTTCATTTCAGGTAAAGAAAATGTTGGAATCTCTAGTAAAACAACATAATGGAACTCTAATATGTCAAGCTGGTGCAGTCAGTGCTTACCAGTACCAGTTGTAAGTTTCCCAATTGTACAAAAAGCTACTACTACTTCAGAAAATACCAGTTTTTTTTTAATTTTTTCTTTCATTTTAGGCCTTCGAGTGCTCCACCCGCTGCAGCTCTCGTTAAACCAAATGCCCAAACTCAAATGATTAGCGTTGTATGTAGTAATATATATTATTTCTGAACATATCATTTATCACTTGAACAATGTAATTTTTTTCTAGAATCAAAATACTGCTCCTAATAATCAAACGATCAAGCTTAATATGTTGAACAACACTGCAACCACTCAAGGCAACATGCAGTTAGTGATTGATCCTCGCATGGGTGTCATCCTTGGCACTGTAGCACCACAACAAGGTAATATTAAAAATTTTTAAGTAAAAAAAAAAATTTATTAATGTTTATTGTTAATTGCAGGAATAGTTACTGCACCTGTATCTTTGATGACAAATATTACAAATAACACCTCGACAACTATGAGTACTATGACTACTGCATCTCCAGTAGTGGCCCCAATTACACCAGTACCCCAGCAGGTGCCGAATGATCAAGTAAACAAAAATAAATTACTCTTAGTATACCTTTAAATGAATGTAGATAACTTGATTGTAGCTCAAATTTCAGCTAAAAGCAACAAGACCAGTACGGAAAAGTAAAACTCCACAAATGCCAGTACAGCAACCGGAAATTATTGAAGAGGTATTAATAAAACTGTTTTCCTACAGCTCCATAAAAAAAACGTATATTTAATCATGTGTGTCAAAAATGTTTAAGCAGACACCACCACCACCACCACCACCTACTATCATAAAACGAATTACAAAACCATCTGGAACAACTCACGTCGTTGCACCCAGTAGTAAGTTTTATAATTGATGAATGAATCTAGAATCTTCCATTAACAAAAGTTACAATCCACATCTAGTATTTATTACACATACAAGTACTGAATTCTTTTTAAAGTAAGTTTTTGCTTCTGTTTGCTTCAGCTTCAACTACACCGCAAGCTACATCAAATTTCAGAGTAAAAACTGTTACCAAACAAACCGTAATGCATAGGCCACATGAAACAAACAGCATTGGTGGTCTTATGATTGGCAACAAAATGGCATGTAAGTTATTTCACTGCGGAAAATTTTAATAATAATTTTGTAGTTAAAATACGTTTTACTAATACTCACATGGTTTTTAATTAGCTGGTGAAATGATTGATGAGTCAAAGAAAAATCAACCTGATGGCAAAGAAATAAGCTTCAACAAGATGAACGGTGGTCGAACATATCCATCGCTAGTAGTAGTCGCCAGACCTAATCTGAAAATCAAAAACGTTACTTCACAGGCTGCTCAAAAGGAGAGATCAGAATTGGGTTTGTCAAATAACTATTGAGTGATCGAACATTATACGTTTCGAATTTTTTAAAACTAAAATGTTTTTTTCAGACATCAAAGTAAAGGGCGTTCTCATGTATCAGTCAAACAAGTTCACGGAGTGGCTCTTACAGCAAGGGCTTGTACGATCGGAGCATTTTTGCGACAAGCATCCAAATAATAGTCTAAAACTCGGCCAATACACTGATGCAGCGCAAAACTTCAACTATTCCGGTGGTTACGTCTGGATCACTTCCTGTTGTCCTGATCGCTTTGTGTCTGTATTCTGTGGATCCATCTTTCAAGGTTCGCCGCACTCGCCAACTGTACTTCTCAAGCTCGTCTACCACTGGGCATGCCAGACTAACGTGCAGAACGTAGTATCGTGGGTCAAAGTCACAAACTACTATGTAAAGACGTTCTACACAAATCTTCGGAGTATCTGTACTGCTGCTATAGCCGAGAAATGCAAGAAAATGGGTGGTAAAAATTCACTTATTCAGGTTGGCGTAATAAGTCTAGGAACTACGTCTCAGGATGGCAACCTACGCCAAGTAAGGTTTAAAGCAGCCAATAATCTTTTTCTTCACAATATTCGCAATTGTAAATAATTCCAGGTTAAAGTGGAAGTTTTGGGCATACTCGATCCAGATACCATGGAGTTACGTTTGCGTGCCTGCGAGCCTGTCAATGACATCGACCGTTCGTACCGCCGTAGATTTACAAACATCCTGCATCCGCTAACCGAATGGGTGCACAAAGATTCCAAGATCTTGACGGACTTTACTGTTGACAAGGCAACTTTGCAAGAAATGGGCTTTCACAATATTAGTCAGACTGCCTTTGGCGAACAGAATCCGAGAAGCATTTCGAGCAATTATCACATAATGGAGTATCTGAGAAAAATCGTGCCCAGAATGTTTCAAAACACATTGAGTCTACTCAGCAGGCAAATGATTCAACAATTTCTGGATGAACTCGTGTGGAGGGAGATGTATGGTGGAACAGCGCTCAGAGCCTTTGAAAATATCCTCACTCATATTAATGAACAAACTCAACTTAACTCAGGTAAATAATCATGCAATCTTTTTCTCAATCCAATCGAGTGCTTGTTAAAGCGCTTCTGAGAACAAATTGAACATTTTTTTTTCACAAATTTGTTAATATGTTTAAAGACATACCACTTCTCGAAAGATTGACAAAGATTTCGGCAAATCCATTCGCCGATTGGTCGTACAAGCATATTCCATCAAAAATGACCCTGCCAACTTCACCCCCTACAGCGGGCAACAGTGGCAGTAGCAATCCTGTAGTATCAGGCCCATTCCAAGCTCCCATGGTCACCATTCCAAAAGATCCAGCTATCCAGTCGGCCATAGACTTGGACTCCGTGTCGCGTCCTGTAACCAACAAAAGAGCCAACCGTAAGCGCCCTTACGCTCCAGCTAGTCCTGAAATTACCGTAGAACACACCGTTACACCGGAATCGAGACTTCTAAGTGACGGTAAAACGGATCAGGTATCGCTTTACGAGTTTTACTATGGGACCATGCAGCCCGAGAAACCTGATAAAGCCGCCAAAGAGAACAAGATTGTGTTTAACTTTAATGTAAGTTCATCAATAGACTTACAAATCCAAAAATTTGTGCATCGTTTTGTAAATATTGTCTTGTTTTTGTCGTTGCAGTGTTTTTTGTGTTCTGCAACAATGCATTCAAACACAGAAATCATGGAACACATGGTCAGTCACGTACCACCCCAAGTACCCGGCCAATCAGATCCACCAGTTTGCCGCTACTGCTGCACAGCATTTTCATCTCAGCATCAGATGAGCGTCCACATAACCGAAGCTCACAGTAATTTCGGCAAATCGGACAGTGTTATGCTTGTATGTGCTATTTGCGAGCAAAAATTCGGTGAGTACTATTGCACTAATTAAAACTTTTTTAGCATAATTAACATGTTAATATACAAACAATTAGAGCCTACAACGCGATAATGATCGACAGTAGCACTTCCGATAAACGACTAATCGATGAACCCACCCTTGACCTTTCACTTGCAGGCTCCGGCGGTCTCTTGATAAATCACTTGTCGTCGATGCACTATCCTTCAGAAATGCCGTATCGCTGTGACACCTGCAGCTATCGCACTTCAAGTCACAAGGACGTGATCGACCATTACTACACCGCTCACGACAAGAGCGACAGTGTTCAATGTCCCTACTGCCTCAAGATTGTCAAGTTTGTTAAAAACGGTCAGCCCCAGGCGTCCAACGTATACGCTTACCTACTGCACATGCAGCGTCACATTGTTAGACGCGAAGAGAAGCTCAACAAGTGTCCCCGCTGCTGCCTCTGGTTCAATCAAATGAGCTCGCTCAAAGCTCACGTCGATCTACACTGTCAGGCAATCGGTCCTAGTACGTCTACGAATTTTAAACCAATCTTAGGTAAAAGTTGATTAATGCTGCCGTTACTAACCAACTTTTATTTTCCACGTTTACTTTGACAGAGGTTGTACCTTACAAAACTAGCGACAATCCAATAACCGTTGCTAGGTCACGTAATTGTGTGAAACGCTATGTCTACGATGATTTCGCTCACGAGATCATGCCTACCGACAGAGTCAAAAAATGGTACTCGGGTCCTCTCAAGATTCACGCGCCCAATGGCTGTGGATGCCAAGAGTGCGAGGAAGACGTAGACATGAGAGAACACTACCCGTAAGACTGGCTTAATTTACAAATCGTTCGAAGCTGCAATTTCCACTGGTAAATTATCGAATACATACCTGTTTCCTTTTAGTGGCGAACTGAAATGCCTGCGCTGTCGTTACGTTACCTGTTGCTGGCGCGCTTATAAGGAGCATCAGCGACAAATTCATAACGAACGACCGATGACGAGTGTCGTCGTTCCCTCGCCCCTTGTCAATATTCCGCTCGAACGCGAAATGCAGTGCACTTGCGGGTATAAAACAACTGATGGGAATCACCTTGGTCAGTTCATTTATTTAAATATTAATTTGAGCAGATTTACATTTGATAGAACGTATTTTTTTGAAAAATTAAACTAAATTTTCAGCTACTCATTTGGTTAAGTGCAAAAAACGCACCGCATTTCCTGCGGAAGAGACGAGACCGGGAATGTTGGATAGCTTAGGCCTGGTACCAAAGCCAGTAGCATCAGAAGTAATTTGAGCAATTAGAAAATAATTTAATACATTTAATTTTTGTATATAAGTCTTATTTCATTATCGTTCTTTTTTTGTTTTGTTCACTTTTCTAACAGGAAGACAAAGATAACTCAAAATCGCTTTTAGCTTCAAAGACGGCGCGACGCACGAGTCTGAGCATTCGAGGAAAAGTAAGGACACCACACTCTATTGCAGATCATTAAGGGCAAGAATGCTATTTTCTATTTAAGTAGAGCGATCAAACAAATATTCAATACAATTTATCTCTAAGAAGAAAACAATAGTTACAACTAGTGTCAATTTGACGTAATTAAGAAAAATCTTCCAGAAGTATAATGATCTGATGTTGATATTAACTGTGTATACTATCAAAATTATGAAAACGAACTTCAAAACTTAATCAAATAAGCTAGTGCAAGCTTTATATATTCTTTACACCAAACATCTTAAATAAATTTTCTAAGATATATATACTGGTTGCTTGTTGATTATTCACCCTCCTTTTAAAATAAAAACTTATAATCTGTGAAAATCGGTACTGAACCAGAATAATACTGGTTGAAACGCAAAAACGACTCATTTCTCAAAATTTTTAATCTCAACAGTAAATTGTTTCGGTGATGAGAAAATAAATAAGTACTGCTGAATGGCGCTGATAACTTACATTTTTTTTCACTTGTAAACGAAAACTTGGAACTATTGGTGTTATAATTGAGTCATATCACTTTATCACCGAAATTTCGAAGTTTGTTAATATTATCATCTGGTGGAGAGCAATGTGGGTGAAGAATTGGAGATAATTGGACACACTTGGGTCACTTGGAAAAAAAAAAAAATAGTAAATAAATATAAATATTAACTCATCGGTAGAGGTCGACACTGTCGACACAATTGGCAGCAACACTCGCAGTTTGTTCCACACTTCAGTTCGATTCGTGTCGTCTGGTTGTTGTGATGTTAGTTTTGACGTTAGTAAAGATATTTCGTGTAAACTAAAGTAAAAACGTGTGCGTGATAAACATATACATTTAAAGTTGACAGAAAAAAAAATAACGATTCCTCAATAAGTTGATAAATTAAGAAGCGTGTATCTTAGCGAGACGATATATAAAAACAGGTAACGACTCCAAAAAGTTTTCATCGTACTGTGATGTTGCACATTAACCTACCAATGGCTTTTAGCTTTTCATATTTGTCCCTACAACAATTGTGCATATTAAATTTTAATTGCGTTATCGGTAGGTACGTGTGCGAGTGAGTGGTGTGCGTGGGTGTAATGTAATCATACAACATATCGATTCATTCATACCTTACTTAGACACACGATGGTCATGCATGCACCTCTTCCAGAAAGTACGAGTGTATAACGCGACATACGAATATAGATATAATTTTTTATGTTTACTTGATGACGCATCGTGTGTTTTTTTTATGTTACGTTAGTACGTACAGGTTTCAGGTACGTGACATACACATGTACAGATTATTATTGCATGTACTTGCATGTGAACTGTAATTCGAAACTCCTACCGACGTACTTACCAAGTTTTTGCGTTTTTTCTTTACGTAAGTAAATATAAGTCGGAGTACTTATATGGCACAAGATTTTTAGAATCTTTTTTTTTTTTACTATCATGAGTTTGGGATGACATCAATTTTCATCGATTGAAACAAATTAACCTTATAGTGAATATGAATTATAGTTTATTTTTTGTAAATCTGTTTTAATTTGTTGTATATCAACTACGCCTTTACGTATATTTTAGTAAACGTGTACATACGTTTTAGCTTGATGCAATGGATGTACCAAGTAAGCATAGGTATATTTATACAAAGCCTCGTCAAGGAAAATTGAAACTTTAAAAAAAACTATCTAGTCGGACCTTCTGTCAAACTCGTCGGGAAACGATAAAAAACAAGTGACGAAGAATCATCAAAACATTGTAGTTTCAAATTGTTCGAAACATGAATTTTCCGTATTAATCTAGACATCGAAACATTTCATTTTTTATACCTTATTCATTCGAATGCTACTCAATTTTTTAAGGACATTTACAACATTAACATACCTTTGGTGCGCTTAGATAAATAAAATACTGGTGTGTTCATAAGTATGTCATTACTTCTGTATTCGTGTCACAGTTGGGTTTGTGTATACAATGTACTTATGTGCTGCAGCAGCTTCCTTTTTGTTGTGGGCCAATAAGTGAAAAAAAAAAAATAAATTCCTTCGTCTGGGAAATTTTTGTACGTCACGGTATACTCCGGCTTATGCCTGCACATGTGTCACACAATCCGGAGCATATATATGTATACGAACGCTTATATATTATATACATACGCTTATGTAGTTTGCAAAGACAAGTACATTTCGTCAGCTTTCGTCAGCTCGTGCAATTAATTAAATTTATCTATATAAGTACTTATTTAATAATTGTGTGGGGTGCTTTTGTTGTTATGGACAAGAGAGAAATAATCGTAGAGTATAAAGCCTCAATTTATATGATGTTTGAACTATTTGAATACATGACGTTTCATTTTTGGGATATAAAGTATTTATTTTTTGTACTATAGACAACATGTAAAAAAACACTGTCAATATTGGTTTTGTTAAAGAAATTTGGCAATGACGGTTGATGTTAGTGAGCCTCGACGAAATGTTGGGAAAAAGTTGTTTGCGTATAAATAAATGAGTCATCTTACAGATAGTGCAATTTTTTTGGGTCGAAATGTAATGAAAGTCCCGTTTTTACCTTAATACATGATCCTACGGTAAATTTTCAAACAGTATATTAAATTTCAGGTCAACCGTGACTGCGTTCGTTTCCTCGAAGTTTTGCGATAAGTGAAGTGACTCATACGGCATTATCAAACTAAAGCTAAAACAATTGACAAGATAGTGAAAGGAAAAATATAAATAAATTCAATAATCACGATAGAGTACTTATTGGATTGAAATTAGCGTTATGTCACATGTAAAATATAAATCAATTGAAACAATGACTTTTTAAATTCCAAAAAATATTCATTGCATTGTTACGATATCTTTTAATTTTTATAATTATTATATTCATGGTTTTTATCAATATCTCGTTGAACAAAAAACCCATCTGATTTTATAAACTTTTTTATTTCAATATCCCCGTTCCTTGTTAATCAAATCAAAGAACCTTCCAGTAATCATAGAAAATCAATCATGTCTTTAAAAACTTTTTTATACTAACTAATTATAAAAAATCCTGTGTGAACGACTTTGAAGAGAAAATTCGGGGAAACCCCTTTAAATTGATATTTTAAAAAACACGAAATGGTCTTACGTGTATGATACACTTAATGAATCAATAACGTGATAATAATATAATCGAGAATAACATCAGGTAACGTTTATCACACCAATACCTACACACTTCGTCATTTTTCTTATCGTTCAACATATATCGCAAGAGTAATGATTATAAAGTTTCGAAACGTTTCTCGACAAAATTCCTTAATTTGATAATTGAATCATCTTAACTCACATTAACTCAATTTATCATGGTCTTGTCGAAATAACGATTGTGATATTATCAATATCCATTTTGGAGATAAAAAGAAAAAAATAAAAACGTTAAATGCAACTGTGAATCATCGGTGTCGCTTATCATTATATCTTNATCAGAAGTAGTTATCGAACTTGTTTAAATAACTGAATACTTAGGTAAAATCATGATTTTACGCTCAAGCATTTAATATTTCTCGGGTGAAATGAGAATCGCTCGAGATTGTTCAATGAAATCCAAAAGAAAGTCACTCCTTTAGTATGCCAAATGTGAGTCAATGACTTCAAATGTCCAAATTATTTTCTTTCTTTTTTCATCTCTTCCAGTTCTTTGTTTTCATTGACTAAATATTAAACTTTAATAGTATATTTACAAATGAGTGTAAACAAAATTATACCTCCATAAGAAAAATACTTGCTTCAAATTCTATACAGATCTCACGGTTGTCTTATCAGTTTATCGGTGAAATGTAAAGAATGATTTCAACCGACTGTACTGTACCTATACCTACCTCCCCTCAAACACTTCTATCAACACAATTTTTCACCCGCGGATTAAAATAATACTTGGAACGGCCGACTAGCGTTCAGACGGTAACTTTGCTGTTGTTGTTGTTTTTTTTCAACACTTAACTTTTAACGCGCCGTGCGACAACGTAAGTATTACACACACAATCACGTCAAGGTAACGATACTGATAGTTTGACGTTGCATCGTGTGTGTGTGTGTGTGTGTGTGTTGTACATGCAATTGCGTAATAATTATATCTGTTGCAGAAAAAATTTTCTCTTGCAAAAAAAAATGAGAAAAGAAAAAAAAAGATATTCTACTTTTATTCGTGCTGTACGTATAATTATATTAGTGATAAAGAATATCATTCTTTTTTTTTTTCCTTGCAGTCAACATGATGATTATCCAGTTTTGTGTAGTTTACTCGTGCCAGTTTTTGGCTGAAAAACGATCAATAACGAGCTGTGCCGTGTAATTTTCGTAATTCGTTTTTTTTTTTTTTTTTTTTTTGATGGAAAATAAGAATAACAGTAAAAAAATTTCCTAATCCATCATCAGGATAAGTTGTTGTTTAACAACAAAAAAGTACACTTTTTTTTCCTATTTCGAAATTCCAAGCAATCGCAAGTAGCACGAAATGGAATACAAAAAGCTGTAACATTGCGAACCACCAAAAATAAATCTATCGATTGCATCGATTGTCCAAAACAATTTTTTATTATCTGACGATACGAAGAACACAAGAACACAACAGCTTAGTGAAAATAGCTCTGTGCACTAAAATTATCAACAAAGCATTGGCAGTGAGGTGATACCTATGTATTAATTAATGCACGTAGCGAACCTTGTCTTTGCACGCCAATTTTGCTAACAAATTACTAACTTCACAATTGTTTTGTTGGGAAAAATAAATTTTTTCAAAATCATGGTCACTTATTAATTTTTTTCATTAGCACTTAAAACTTTTAATGATAATATTATATGCGGTGTCAGTTTGAAACAAATTATTATTCCCAAAGCAGCATGTATATACAGATTTTACGAATGAAAGCTTCGATTTTCCAGCGTAATTAGTATATAGCTCACTGGATTTGTTGGAAAAATAATAATACTGAACAAGAGACAAGAATTTCACATCGAAATTGAGACTCATTGTTGTGCACAACCCTTTTTTGACATAATATATTCATCAGTATTGTGATTAATACGAAATTGGCGTCAAATATGAAGCGTTTCCCATTGAATCTATCAAAAAAATAAAACATAATTTAAAGTGGATAAAGCATCATTGAAAGTGACATTGATTTATTTTTTCAACCCCGAACTTATTTCGTAAATCCTAATACTGATAGATTTAAAAGCTCCCCAGTGTTGGTATTTTGTATGAAAGATAACCATAATTATGCAATCGAGAAGAAACTTTTTTTTTTTTTAAAGCTTGAAAACTCACAGCAGCACTTGAGCGCTCAGCCACTGCGCTATTTTTTTAAAATCACTTCACGAATTTTGTATTAAGGGCTGAGAAGTTACTTTTTCCTACAAAAGGTATAAGTTTCTGGCTTTTTTTTTTTCTTAACACAAACTCAAATTTGTCTCACTTGACCACAAAAATAACTATCGAAAGATTAAAAATTTATCAAACTAAATGTTTTTAACGCAATCCGGAATTCCGGAAGTATACGAGAAACAAAGCAGACGACAGTAGTGTTACACTACTACCAGTGTACATACACTGTATAGTGTACTACTACCACAGTGTACTGTTTTCGAAATAAACAAAACATATTATATATAAAAAATTACTGTTCTCGTCTGCAAAGCTAAATATTTTACACGATTGCAAACACACAGAGCAAAGTATTTATCTAATCCCATCTAACGGGGCTCGTACTTCCGAGAGTTCCGAGTTCCGGTCCTTCTGGATAGGTTATAAACAAAACTTACGTTTGAAGAAAAAAAAAAAAATACAGAATACCTTCATAAAATTATCGACTTTCACGTTTGAATTGCATGAATTCTTTGTTTTTGTACATCAAGTTGAATCATTCATAAATCCACATAAAATGTTCATTTTTCGTATTTAAAAATTTTGAAAACATCAAGTGCTCTTTTCATACCATTTGAATGTTCATTTGTTTGCTCAGCCCTATACTTTCTCGTATGACAACTATATTATCACGAAAAAAAACAAAAAAATAAAACTTCATTAGTGCAGTTGAGCGTAATTGTACTACTGTGTGCTAATGTAAAGTTATTTTTCAGCTAGAAAAAGATGTCGACTTGGCAGAATCCTGGTGGTGGTTACTATCCCGGCCAACAAGGTTTTCGTCTTCAATATTTGATATTTTATAAAATATGTAAAAACACACCCTAGCGTATCTGGCTTCAACTAATTTTTCAAGCTCCATCACTTCATTCATTACATTTTTTTTTCAACCACTTTGAGCCTAGGGTTGTGTATGGCCATGTTTTTTTAATCGTGATGGATTAACTTTCAGGCTATCCAGGTTACCCAGGAGGTGGTTATCCCCAGCAAGGTTATCCGGGTGGAGCTTATCCAGGAGGGCCTTATCCAGGCGCACCACCACCAGGTACGTTTAATGTTTTTCATTGTAATCTCTATCTTTTAATCCGTAAAACGTAGTCAAACTGATAACATGAATTATTGCATTTTTGTCACTAGCCGGTTTCGCACCACCACCAGGAGGTGCTCCCCCATTCATACCACCAACATCTGCAGGCATGTACGGGGCCAATTACGCCCAGGATCCCATGCAGGATGAAATCAAGGGTTTTCAATTCAATGATACGACCATACGGCAAGCGTTCATACGGTTTGTAATCGAGTTATTGCTCTTTGACGAATTTCAGTAAAATAAATAACTATTTTAATTGGTTGTATTTATTGTTTTTATTTCCAGGAAAGTTTATTCGATCCTTATGGTTCAGCTTTTGATCACATTTGGAATCGTGGCCATTTTCACGTACCATATGCCTACAAAAAAATTTGCCTGGAGTAATCCATGGATCATGTGGGCGTGTTTGATTGCCACTTTCGTCTTGCTTATTTCCATGGCTTGCTGTACAAGTGTTCGCCGTGAAGCCCCCATGAACTATATCTTTCTCGGACTTTTTACTTTTGCAGAAGCAATAATGTTGGGCTTTGCTTCAAGTGTGAGCAATCAAAAATATGTAAGTGCCAAATACTTAAACTTCATTTGATTGAAAAATATTTCGTTGATTATTGATTCATAGACGATATTTTCTAATATCATCAAACTTAAAAGAGACAAAGTAATTTTTTTTACGGTTATTAAAACATAATTATATATATAAAATAAATAGTTCAGCAATAATTCATACATGGGGGTATCTTTATAATTTCAGGTCATTATGGCTGTCGGTATAACAGCCGTGATATGTTTCTCGCTCACGCTGTTCGCATTCCAAACGAAAATCGATTTCACCGGCATGGGCACGTACCTATTCATTGCAGCCATAGTATTTATGCTGTTTGGTATTATCATGATGTTTTTCCGCCCAAGCAATACAATGCACTTAGTCTACAGTTCAATTGGTGCTCTGCTATTTTCGTTCTACCTTGTCTACGATACGCAGCTAATGATTGGCGGAAGCCACAAATACTCCGTGTCTCCCGAGGAGTATATCTTTGCTGCACTCAACTTGTACCTGGACATCGTCAACATTTTTTTGTACATTCTTAGCATCCTCAACGCCTCTTCCTCAGATTAAGAGCTATTTATGCTTGTGTTCGTTGTACTCCCATGTGTATGGTGAAAAACAAATAGCTGACAAAAAACTCGTGAATAAGCATATACGCGAGTTTTTACAAGTTACTCTGGTTAGTTGTGTTGGTGTTCAACAAACATCATCTATGGCCACGTAAAAACATAAACTTTCGAGCCTTAAACAATTAATATACGACATTGATGTTGTATGTAACTGTGGTATTTATTTGTCACGATCTCTTCACACAATTTAAAATAGATTTTTTTTCAAGCTTGATTCATGTTTTGGCAAGTAAAAATTTTTTTCCCATTTTTTTTCTTAAAATTTTATTGAAAATTCCCGTAATTGGTTTGAATACCAAAGATGTCACATGTGTATTTCTAGTAGTTCCTTAAAAATATTTTCATGAAGACTAAAACGTTTGAGTAAAGTGTTATTTTTTGTTTATTTTTCATTTCACATTCTAACCAGAGTTTCCACTGAGTTATCAATGACTTCAAATGTCCAAATTATTTTCTTTCAATGTCCAAAAGTTAATAGAATACAGATTGATACTCAGATTAATTTAATTTCAATTAATGTTAAAACAAGTAAATAAAAACACAATTTGAGAGCTGTAGCTTTTTTATCTAGCAGATAAAAAGCAAATCAAAGTAACAAAATTTTATAAAAGCTAGCTGCACTTGTTTGGTTATCATCTAACGATCATTATTAACTAATATAGGGATGAAAGTGAATTGCATTGCTTAAATAGCAAATCGAGCTAATTTTAATCTACCAAATCGTTTGACGCAACCAATTAAATGTAATGTATAGCTAAGTCGATAATACAAATAAAGAAGAAAACTGTTTCGACTGTTACTCTGCGAGTCACTATCACAATTTCATTATGCAATAAAAATTAAATGATAAATTTTTGCGATATTTACTGTAACGAAGTTAGAAAACCAGATTCATCGATCTTTAAAAAAATCATTGTTAGTGTTCTTATTACCATGAACGTTTATTTTTGTTTCAACTGTGTCTATTGTATTTTCAAAGTACATAAACCGCATAATGTTTCATTAGAATTTAAATTACACGTACATATATTCATTGTAGCGTATTTATACGACATGTGTTATTATATACATGTGCGGATGATTTTATTCATGCATATTTAAAATATTTATTGTACATTGTAATTCAACGATTTCCGACACGTTTATATATATTGCATGTGATTATCAAATCTGTTTTGGCGTAAATGTAAGTATTTTATTTCTTCTTTCGTATTGACACAATTTAATAATTATTTTATTAAAGAAATCAAAAAGTTGAACTGGAGTGTAAATCATTATTTCATTAATCCTCGTGAATTGATTGTAAGAATATCATAGACCGATATTCTTTGGTGTAAAATTGCATTTATGTAGTAAAATATGTGCATTCAATATTTTTTTTTTATAAATATCTAACTTTAATCACATATATATAGGAAATCAAAAACTTAATTTTTTCAAATTACCCCAAAATGTTTTAAGTGAAGTATTTTTTAAACAGTATTACATTTCATATGTTGTTTGTATCTGAAAATTTTTGACATTTCGAATTCAGATTCGAATCTGCAGATGATGATCTGTTTTTTAATCCACTGAAGTGAATATTTAAGCACAAACTATTTAATTCCACAGTACCAAAAGAAAGTCATAAGAAAATTATTTGGTTTGAATTAGTAATATTGTTTGTCACCATTTCTAAACTTTCGTGAAGTATTTTTACTATGTGTGAAGGTATTTACTATCAATGTACGTTACTAACAATATACAATGTTGGAACACATACGAATACATGCATATAACGACCCATAAAAAATTAGTAAAGAAAAGATATAAATAAACGAGACAATAATTTAATAAAAAAAAAAAAAAAAAAAAAAAATGATTCATAAAAACAACCGTAACGGGTAATGATACAATAAATCCGTCCTTTCAGCCACACTAGTAAAGAGGATACCTTTGTAACAAATCTTGAGGTTTTTGACGCTCTGATTATGTTCTTTGTTCTTCTAAAGAATACTGCAAAGCAAATATGTGCTTTATGATTGTTATATACATTAAACATTGTCGCAGGAATATAATGTTTCTAATTGTTGACAAAATAAAAAACAACTTTAACAGCTATTTTTAACTCAACACAAACATCAAGCTTTGAAAACTTTTTATAAGTCAGAAAATCCTTTGATTATTAAAAAAACGACTTTACACTTTATTTTTCAAGTATATTTTTATTAAACGCTTATTACATCATTAAAATTTCAAATCGAAAGCTTATCCACAAATCAGTATTAAGAATATTGTTGTCGCATGCATTCATTGAGTTATATTAGAAATTTATGTACTGTTGTTAATAAAAGAAAATATTTCCGTAGTGTATAAGACACATTTTACTCTCCCACTTTTAGTTTCATATATTTTTTTAAATTTTACATAACAGTGTTCGATAATTTTTTACAATAACATCAATATTTATTGAATATAAATTTTGTTCAAGTAGTCGCCGATAACAACTCTTCAAAATTAGTTAAAGAAATGCGTCGAGTCTATATTTTCTTTGTAAGAAAAAACAAAACAAAAATGATGTACTTTATTGATACAAACTTTTCTCTCTATTTTCATAAGCTATATTCTGTTACCATTTCAAACATCAATATATCGTTGAATCATTTAATTTGTTTTCACTATTATGTAACCAAAAAATGTCCCGAAAAGAGAAAGATTTTAAATATAATCTCAAGTTAGTCAAGGAGATATTTCAGTGAAACTTTTAATTTTTTTTATTATCTATTACACTCTGACAAAAATTGCATATAACAAAAACGTGTACTTATATTTTTTGATTTGAAACCTAAACTATTATGAAAACTTGTAAAACATTAACACCAAACTCAAGGATACATTTGTGTGTTCTTAACGCAACCACCAATTTTTGCATGAAAAATCTGGTAGCATATATTGAGTCCAAAAATAAAGAAAATAATATTAAAACCAAATTGAAAAACGTTTTATTTTACAGGATAAGATATGATGAGTACAAATATAGTTAGTTTCCAATACCTATTCGTTCGTAAAAATAGTGTTAGAAATGAGAAAACAGACTTGTAAAATCACTTTTTTTAAAGTTATTAAATTAATTTCACTTTTAGCAATTACGAACAAGATGCAAACTTTCTCTTGGAAATTCATTTATACAGACGATACAGATTTTCTTCAATTTTGTAGGAAAAATATGAATAAAAAATTATACGAAGTTCTTTGAATCTATTGGTAATAACAAAACAAAAGAAAATAAACGCGCAAACATACAATAATTTACGTGAATTAACGTCGTAATGCTTCACATCAAACCAGACTTGACTCTTGATCCACTTTATTTTTTATTTGAACTATAAAAATTCATTTATTCAGTATTTATCATCTTCGTTATCATCGCCTTCAATCTCCTCTGGAGGTGCGAAGCCATCCTGAAAATAAAGCCATTGTTGAAATTTTCTACATCCAAGTACTTTTTTTTAAATTTTAGACAAATACATTTTTAATAAACCATGCTCATGATTTAGACTGCAATGTGTTTGGTTATTTAAACTACTCAAAATTTCCGATCCTTAGTATTTGAATCTAATGTACTTTAATTATGATTTAAAACTATTTTTCGAATTCGCAACAAAGACTTAGCACGAAGAAACTTCGAGCAGTTAACAAAAAGAAAGACAAACGATAACGTTATTTACGTACTTCTTCCCTTGCCTTTCAAACCTGCAAAATAAAATATAAATCGGAACACTGCAAGCCCTGATCTATAAATCAACGAGTTTTAGCTTGAAATAGCCAAATATTAATTATTTTCACTAGACTTAGAAAACTGTTTACTGCACGAAGTTTTAACACTGATAATCATCTATAAACATAAAACTATGAATGACTATTATGGATTCAGTATCAGAAGTAGTTATCGAACTTGTTTAAATAACTGAATACTTAGGTAAAATCATGATTTTACGCTCAAGCATTTAATATTTCTCGGGTGAAATGAGAATCGCTCGAGATTGTTCAATGAAATCCAAAAGAAAGTCACTCCTTTAGTATGCCAAATGTGAGGTGTTACTAAGTGTCTCACTTATGTAAATAGAAATTATGTCCGTATTTATCTAAATTAAGTAAATAAATAAATAAAAAAGCATATGTTGCATTTTTGATGTTTTGAATTATTTATTAAATTTGTATGAACTTAACATGAAAATCCTTAAGTATGAACTCATCGAAGTCTTTCGAATAATATAATGAAGGATGATTTTTCATAACTATTCATTGATCAACAATGAAATAAGATGCAATCGTGTAAAATGTTTTGATGAAAACCGTTAACCATCTAATCCAATACAACAGCTATTAAACATGGAATACAATTGCACAGCACATTGCTTTACCTTCATTTTAAAAAACTATTTGTATTTATAAAAATAAAAAATTTAATAGGTTTCATCGCTAGCTTGATTGACTTCTCCATCATCCTGAAAACATTATTGCATAACCCACAGTTTCAAAAGAATAAATTAGAGCAATCAATCAATTTTTCATTTAATTGACAAATTAAACAAAAAAGTTGAATAATATTTACCTCAGTTGCATAAAGAACTTCCAAAATTTTCTGCACTATTGGAGGAGTTTCACTGTTGTCGCACTCTTGGCACATAACTTCAATATCCCTCAATTTTCCAAAATAGAAGTCTCTCTCCTTTTCAAGGCCATCGACTGTCATTTTTAGATCCATGAGCTGAAAAAAATTTGTGTGTATCTTTAATATCAGTTTATTGTACTGTGAAAGGACAATATGAGCAATTACAAATAAATGTAATTACCTGACTATTAAGTTCTTCAACTTTTCCTGAATCACCACGAGCTCCAATGCCCCCTACTTTTGGTTGTACGCGAGTTGGTTGAACTTTGTTTACTAGATGACATGAGAAACAATTTTAAAACGTAAGAAAAATTTTTTTTCGACAGAGAAAAAAAAATCATAAAAGTTGATGTTTTGTTGCAAATGTAGGACAAACATTACAAGGCTTATATCATTTTATTATAATTTAAACATTGATACATGCATTGCATAAGCCATAAAATTGATTAAGTTCTTGCTTCGTTAAGTATGATACATAAGGTTGTAAAAAAAAACTAGCACAGCAGCATACACACGAACCTGTAAAAATTTACGCCACAAACCATGCAAACATGCAGAAGTATTTAAATTAAGTTACTTACAATAAAAACGAAAAATTGTTTAAAAGTGTACGAATATTTGAAAGTTACTGAGGTTATCATGCTTTTTTTAGGTATAAAATAGCTGGTATATAACTAAGGGCATAATACTTTGTATTTTGTTATTTACAGATGAAGTAAGAAAAAAAATATTAAAATAATTACTGGTTCTTTGAACAGTTTTTGCAGGTATTTGGACAGATGATGGTATTCCTTCACCTACGACGAATTTTTTTCAATAATTAAGCCATTATAAAAACTGTTTCTGTTTAAAAATTCGCCATGTAGTTCAAGTATTATGTTTAATTAAAATATAAGCCGTAAAATCATACTATTGAAAAGTGTAATTCATGACTTTATGTTTTCAAGTGTTTGTAAAAAATGTATGGAGATGAAGCACATGAAATGAATAAAACCAATGAGAATTAATTATTGATCGGTAAATCGTATAATGTCTGCAATCATCATTTAACTTTTATTATTTCTCCTTGTAATTCCACGTTGATAAGCAATTAACTGCTTACTTATTTTTGTTTAAGTTTTTAAGTATTCAGAATGAAAAATTCATAAATATTTGCATGTTTTTATTTCTCGAGAAAGAACATACTAAAATTTAAACGGGAGTTTTATGAGCGAATTTCAATACGATTATCAACAATAAACTAATTTTGCACCATATCTCGAACTAAAGTGGAATTTGATTGCCGAGGGTAAATGAACAATACACACTACATGAGAAAAACAAGTTCTTCACATTTCAATAAACATGCCATCTAGGACTTTTCTACTTTTCCTCTTTAAATTTGTGATTTCCTGTATCTATTAGTTACTTAGTTAATTTTTCAGTAAGCAGTTATTTTGCACTATAAGTTGTTAATAAAAGTGTAAAGTCTGTAAAGCCGTGAAAATCATGTGTAAAGTGTTAGTATGAAAAAAAAAATTTTAAATTGATGAACGACTGTACCGGTTCTAGCAGCAGGCTTAGATAAGACTGGGGCACTTTTCTTTACCATTCCTATACCCCGTGGCGCGTTGTGGCCAGCACTACCCATCTGCTCATTACCTCGCATGGAAAGTGCATCGTAATTATCTCCTCCTGCATAGTTAGCATCGAAAAATTTCTTGAACCACTGCAAGAACTCAAAGTTGTCCTGAAACCTACCCTTCACCAGCCTATCGATTGGTACAATCTGTAAACGATGTGAGACATTCACAGTACACACGAATGGTGAGATTAAAAACAATAATACATAAATTAAGGCAAATTAATACTGGTGTAATAAATTGTATTAATAGCGTAATAAAAGTAAATTGATTATTGGCACCGATAATGTGCAGTCAATGGTTTGTTGTTTATGAGAAACATCAAACATTAACAGATACTAGTAATATAATTTTCAAGCAAAACAAATTGAGGAGTTGATCAAAAGAAAAAACGCGATCGCAGTAGAAAATATTGCTACAAAAAAAAAAAAAAAAAAAAAAAAAATGTATAAATCAAAAATTTGGGCTTTCCTGATGATGAAAACAACTGTTCATTAAAAAATGAAAGAATAAAACTTTGTAAAACAAAGCACTACTGAAGAACGAAAAAGTTTTCAAATCGTAACTGCATTGATAAGAGTGAGTGGAACTGTGATTGTGGTTGAAAAAGAGTGTATTTTTTTTATGTAAAACACAAAATGGTTGTACTGATTTATACAAAGTGCAGGAACACTAAAAATCGATAGTGTAACAATCTACTTTTGCTAAGCCTAACAAATTTCGCTGTTTGAATTATGTACAACATATGTAAACGATTGCATGGATTAAAGGTGACTTTGTTTGAAAAAAATTTGCTTGAAGTGAGTGTATTAAACACAGGGTAAACATCTAAAACTGATCCAATAACAATTGATTCCTAAAGGAAGCTGACATGCCGCAAGCATTGGTGCGTGTGAATTAAAACAAGGAGAAAAATGGTTTTGAATCAAATTTGGAGGTCAATGTACTCATTTGCTGTCGCGGGATGGGAGTTCTCTGTTGAATGTGTTTTTGTTGCATTATTGGTTTCTGAGCTAGAGGCACCAGATGTGAATTCGAAACGTTATGGCTGCCGTCAACACCAGAGCCCAAGGAAATACAGCCGCGCGCCTCAAACGCCTCATACTCGCGGCCGTCGTAATTAGCGTCGAAGAACTTCTTAAACCACTGAAGGAATTCAAAGTTGTCTTGGAAACGGCCTTTTATAAGTTTGTCCACCGGTATTACCTGAACCATTTTTGCAGTGCTTTAAGTATAACAATATGAGACAAGTGGCACTTTTCTTATGACTGTACAGTCAATTTTCGTAAAAAAAATTTAAACCCAAATTTAAAGAGAATTTCTTTTTGGACAAGGTTGAATGAACTTACTTTGTCTACATTCATTTTCTTGAAGCCAGCTTGGAGCAATTTAAAATTTTGTATGTACTCGTGTTCAAGATTTGTCTTGAATTTCACCCTCTTCAGAGGTACTGAGTTTGGGAAAAGCATGTCCATAAACTGACAGTAGGCCGCTCCAGTGCAGAGTTCCTCAATTTTGCCAAATGACGATTGCAGACAATCATTAACCCAAGCCAGCATATCATGCCGACTGAGATTTTCGGTCGTCACATTTGTTGCATATACGTTAACCGCCATGTTTTCTGAAAACAAATGACAACTTTAAATAAATACTGGTAATATTTTTTTGCATTTTTACTGTGTATAAAATATAGATTTTCAAACCATTTAACAATTATTAAAATATATTTCATGTACTCTTAAGTAAACACTGTGTATTGAAAAGTAAATAGACTACACAACGTGACTCTATTTTATTATATTTTTTTTTTGTAAATCACTGAACAATACATTAGGTGACAAAATTAATGTTCATTTAACTTTAAAAAGAATTTGATAAATCTAAAAGAAAGGTGTCATAATTCGGAATTTTCAAGAACTAGCCTGCCTGTCTGCAATATAAATCATACACTATACCTACTCTATGTCCTACATGCATTAAATTATTCCAAGTTTAATTTTAAAAGTAATAAAATATACATAAAGGTGACCTTACATTAATTATTGATAACCTATACATGTAACTAAAAGCTTGGAAAATCGAGTCTGGCTATTCACAATGTAAGTAAATAAAACAGTGATAAATCAGCACGACTATCATGTGGCTGTTTGTAAACTCGAAATCTACTTTCTGAAAAAGCTGGCTATGCTACAGAGAAGAACTCGCTGTGCGTAGTCAGGAAAAAGAGGAGGTGGTGAAGAGAAAAGTGTAAGAATAAAATAAAAGGAAGAGGCAATATACTGCAGCTCTGCATGCATCCACGTTTAGAATTCCAAGTAAAGAGAAAGGGAGAGAAGGAGGATGTATATATTATGAAAATTTACTGTACCTGAGTATATGTATAATAATAAACAAGAGCATAGACGGTCCAAAACCGTCAAAAGACCAATTACTTATAACCCCTCACTTCCTCTTTCTCTTGAAACTTCTTTCCTCGAGGATGATGACGATGATGACAAGAATAAATAATTTATCAATATAAGTGTAGGTGACGAAACAAAGCAGCGAGTATCGCGTTGCCCTGAGGCCTGATGATGACTTTAGTCCCGTATATTCGTCTCGATAATTAATATAACCACGCTTTAATTCGAACAACGAAGTAGCTATATAGAATGAGAAAAAAACGACCGAGGGGAGTAAGAGACAGAGAAAGAGATAAAGAAAATACTTGTGCGACCAGGCGGCACCGCGACAGGCCCACGGGCGCAAGCATAGGCGAAGAGGCGCGATAAAACAGCAGCCCACTGTAAGGGCAAGGAATTTTTTGGCGTTTTTACACGTTACCCGTTTAAGTACAAGTACTAGCTTTTACAGCTCGAACTTGTGTGTCCTCTGTACCATGTAATACGTACAGCAGATGCTTACAGGTGTGCAGATATCGTGCTTAAAAATGTTACACACACGCGAGGCTTAACGATTTTATTACAGCGACTTATGATTGATACAGATAATAAGTAGGTGTGGTAAATGAACGATAGGTCAATTTTTTCATGATTTAGAGTGTTTGTAAACGCACAGGTCAGTCATGCATGCTGATACATAGTAAAGTACATGCAAATCAAAAGTAGGGATTTCGTTTCAAAGAGACAGGAAGTCCTCATAACCTAAGCAAAGAGTTTATTCCCCTACGTGATGTTATAACGTAGTTGTTATACGAAAAATTAGATCTGACAGATAATATAAGTAAATGTATATCCGAAGCACGCTGTGTGAAAGTTGATAGGTCTTACCGGTTAATCAATGTTGGGGACTGGTTGTTTTTAGTAGTACAAAAACGTTGGGCCCGCTTCTCTCTTCTCTTTCTTGATCCCTCTCTTTTTCTCTATTTGTTGTTCTCCGTGTACATGCGCTTCTTGTCTCCCCTTTCTCTATTCAGTTCGTTTAGTTCCGCTCTCTCTTTTTTTTTTTTTTTTAATTTTTTTTCTTACTGCTTTCCGAGCGGCTTTCGCTATGCATTAACTCCGCAATTTTTGTGAGTTAACAACTTATCTACCCTATCAGAGATTAAGTATAAGTAAGTAGTCTCAAATAATGTGTTAAATGTTGAAGTGCCAACAAACTGAACGAACGAATGCACGTATGTGAGATAGTTGGTACCTACGTATATATATATGTCTATGAACGACTATCGGAGAAAGAAAAGGAGAGAGAAACTCACAGTGGGGATTGGAGTTGAATCAAAAAATTAGTGGTTATAATTAAGTTGTAATAAAATTGAAAGCAAAAGAACTGGATCCCTATCATATACATGTATACGTTAACAATTTAAACATCAATTTATTAAGAACATTAGCATAATATACTATATGCAGACAGTATTTTGTAGAGCGCGCGCGCAAGTATCACAACCGACATAGTAGGGATCGCATTTACCCATTGTAGAACGTCACGAAGAGGTAGACTCTACATACCCTGTTTCAGTCGGCAAAATCAGTGATTTCAATTATTTTTGGCCGATAAAGTCAACATTTTCAATTTGCATGAAATACACGTATATGTAATGGGTGTAGGGTGTTTTCCACAATCGTCACCAGCAAGTAATTTAAGGTTGCGCTCTACGCTACCGTCAAGTCGGTAAGTCAACTACCTTGAATTAACTGGCGCTCTGTTCCGTAATCTGGCCAGTTAAAATAGCAGACGACAGTTAACAGCGCGATGAAATCTTCACTTTTTTCTCGACTTTTACGTCGTCTGCTATTTTAACTGGCCAGATTACGGAACAGAGCTCCAGTTAATTCAAGGTAGTTGACTTACCGACCTGATGGTAACGTAGAGCGCAACCCACTATTACTTGCTGGTGACGATTGCGGATTGCGGAAAACACCCAATATGTGTATGTACCGGGACTATGTATATACACATTCATTGGAAGAATGACAACACGCTTTTCGTCGTTTCGTCGTTCGTCTTTAAAAAGCCGCAATTAAGAGTTTTGTTTAAGTAAAAGACTTTTTGAAGAATAATCTTTTAATAATGGAGTGTCTCCTAGGAATTCAGTGCAAGGACTTTGTCCTCGTTGCGGCTGACATGACGAACGCCTCGTCCATCATGGTTATGAAAAGCGGTAGTGTAAAATTTCATTTTTTGCTAAGTTAACCTATGTATCAATAAATTATCCTATTGATTTACTCGATTTTTTAATCAAAATTGTGATTGCTATTTTTGATAAATTCATTCTTACTTCTTTTTTTGCTTCGTGATTCTCTACAATTTATCACGGCTTAGCAATTTACATCATCCACTCCAAAACACTTTACTTTACACAGATGAAAACAAACTTTACAAGCTGTCGGATAAACTGGTGATGGCCGTGTGCGGTGAGAGCGGTGATGCTATTCAGTTCTCCGAGTACATAAGCAAAAATCTGCAGCTTTACAAAATGCGCAATGGTTATGAGCTGTCACCCAAGGCCTCGGCCAATTTCACAAGAAAGAACCTTGCCGACTATCTCAGGTCCAGGACGCCTTATGCCGTCAATCTTCTGATGGCAGGCTGTGACAATGAAACTGGTCCTGAACTTTATTTCATAGATTATCTAGCATCCTCTGTCAAAGTACCTTATGCTGCTCATGGCTATGGTGGATTTTTTGCACTCAGCATCATGGACAGATACCACAAGTGCAGTAAGTCTAAGTTTTTTCTTCCATTTAATGTGGAACTTTGTATGTTTAAATAATTAATAGGGCTTTATTATGCATGAATTTAAGTAGCATACTAGATCCATTAATTTTTCAATCGTTTGGCTATAACTAGAAAATGAATACAAATAAGTACTAATAATCAAAAAGTTAGTAGTTGATTACAATCTATTTTTATAGACATGTCAGTTGATGATTGCTATGATTTAATGAAAAAGTGTGTCCGTGAAATACACAAAAGATTGATTGTCAATCTTCCAAACTTCAAAGTTCAAAAAGTATCCAAGGATGGAATTGAAAATTTACCTCCAATAACGGCTCAGGACTTAGCTGTGGAAACCGCTCGAGCTATTTGAGCGTTTAAGTAAAAAAAATACTATTTAAAAAATTTGTACATCCTCATAAAAATCAACTATGATTTAAAATTGATGTCTTCAACTTTTGTTATGCATAAATAATTTTTTATGAAATAAAAGAAAAGCACTGTTTTAAAATTACTTTGACAAGTATTTATTAAGCCTGCATCATACAGATTGGTACACTATCAGTCAATTATTTCTGATTCACAAGTAAAAAACTTACTCACTTACATGTGTGTATCTCTTACAAAATGACAATATCTCATAAAAAGTACTTAATCACGATTATCACTCTTTCATTTGCTGTATGGGTTTGTAGAACATCAAAAACTTGATTTGAACTTGTTTTAAGATATCATGTTTCTTATTTTGATTGTAATACTGATTACATCAAAATTGGAAAAAAAAAAAAAAAAGATTTGTCTTTGTTTATCATAGGTAAGTTTAAACATCTTTAGTGCACTCCAACAAAGTACTTCCAGACACAACTTGGAAGCTGCAGTAAAAATGGCAAATTTTTTCGAATCCAAAACTTTTTTTTTTATAAATATACTACCCAAGACTTGTTAAATACAATATCGTATTGTATATATAAGTATAGTGTTGAATCATGTTCTTTTATTAGTTTGACAATTAAGTTAAGTAAAATTTAATGAATAAAACTATTACATTCTCGATGACAGAAACTTTTATTGTAATTAACTAGGTTTAATACAGGAATCAGTTGTAAATATTGTCAGTCTTTAGAACATTACAGAAATGAAAAGACTTACAAAAAGGAAAGCAATTTTATTTTTAGTTGGCATGATGATTTGCTCAAGTCCTTTTCATTAGTGGAAGATGAATTAAGTATATAAAAAATTTTGTGCGAGACTTCTTCACTTTACAATGAAAAAAACTCTTTTCGTTGTATGTGATGGATTTGTTTTATAAAATGTTCAATCTAAGCTCTTTGTTATCACAAATAATATAATAGAAAACTTTTTTAAAAAACGTATTGTCTCATCCAAAATCTTAAGAATTCTTAATTAGTCCTGTATTATATCAAGAATTACTTTTCGTGATTATTCTGTAGAAAATAACAAACTAAATATGCAATCACTAAGAAAATTTTCTATACATCGTTAATAAAAATTGTTTTATAATTTTTCTAGAACCAATTTTTAAAATATTTGGAGATATCTTAAAATATCGTTTCGATTTGCTTTACTATCATGTAAAGGAGTAAAAGTAAATGTTTTGGATGTCAGATTGCATGAATATATTCGCCTAAGCCAAAGGCGTTTAGTAAGGCTGGAATGATTTTTATATGCATCAAAAGTTGGGATCAGTTCATCTTATCAATTGAAAATACTCAATTTAAGCGTTTGATGCTGAAAAAATTGTCAAATACACTATACCTATTCTCTTTAAACTTGATTCGTGTACATAAGACGCAATTATAACATTAAATGTTTTACACTTCAATATATACATACACAAAATTTTTCGCTTGTAAAAACTTTAAAAAAAAACGGCTCAATATAAATATTCTATAGAAATTGAAACGTAAAGAAGGTAGAAGAAAAAAAAACAACTGAAAATTATACACAAAGGGTAACATTAGTACATTTTTTAACCAATGTACAAAATTTCATTAGAGTTCTCACTTTTCTGAGAGTCTTTTTCGGGCACGAAACGTCGTCACATACCCATATTTTTTCGTATCAACGTTTCCTGCATTATTATCACGTTCATTTTGAATACAAAAACGTCTTTTATTATTTTTCTTTTTTGCCGTCTATTTGTGTTGTCTCTGTTTTCGTGTCAGTATCAGTATCAGACGGATGATCCTCATATCTGAAAGATTAAGTGCGAGTTAAAATAAAATAAAAACGAGCTTGAAATTCAAATGGTGCGTAAATTTCATCTAACACAAACTTTAACAGCTTCAAATGTTTTTGTAACATGTTAAGTTTCTGGATACAAAATGCAAAACGTTTTAATGTAAACTTACGAAAACAATGCCTTCAAATCGCCCTTGAAAATGGCAACACACAGAGGAGTTCCCAAACAGGCAGGAACCAAATATAATAGTGCCGGTTGAGCATGATTGAAAAGCTGCATGAAGAGCAACGTGACGAGCAATCCCATGAAGTAGGCAAAGAAGGTCGAATAAAAATAGGTGTTTGCTTTCCTCTTGAGACTGTGATCAAACCTGAGTAACAAGGCAATGAAAATTCCAGGTACAACAATGTCACCTAATCCTAGCATGGCAAACTTTGTGCCGTGAAGACCCTGTTCCAGTAAGTCTTGAGGAAATACCAGCTTGATCGGAGCTTCAAACGACCTGGCCACTGTAACCATCACATTTGTACCAAAAACCCAAAATATATCATACACAAAAAGTCCACACAGCAATATACACCCCGTTACAACGTTATTTAAGTGCAAAAGTTCAACACCGTTGATTGCAAATGCTATTCCCAACAGATTGTTCGCAATCCAGTGCTGTAGACAGGAAAAAAAAAAATTATCAATTCAATACACAAACACTGTAGTGCAAAAAGTTTTTGTAAATCTATTATTACCTTTTCCCACAAATACCAAGCACCAACCATGGAACAACATATCAAACAGACTATGTCGTGAAGATTGAATTTATAATTAATAATATCCTCGCTGTCCTCAGTGAGATGCAGATGGTACTGAGTTTTGGGAATGGCAGCCGGTACCAGGGAAGTTATGAGAGGACTGCAAAGAGAAGAACAAAAAAGTGCAAATTATTATTCATTGTCTGCATAACACCACCTTGTGGCCTGATTTCTTTAAGAACTCCCGTTTTACCTCGAGAGATGGCAAAGAGCCAAAATGCCGAGGAAAAAAAAATATCCAGTCAGCAAGAGGTTGATGTACTCCTTGGAAAATAACTGCAAGCAATCAGAACGATGCATAAGACCCTTGTATAGTGATCATGAAACAACAGAGAAAAAGAGCCAGCTGTTGTTGCGACAGCCTTACCTGGAAAAATATGTAGAGTCCAAAGAGTGCAACACTGGAGATGAGCGGAAACATCGCAGCATCCTTGCGACTCATAGTCTCTGGCTTCTCTCCACTGATTTCAAAGTGTTCCTAGAGAAGATATAGATCATTAAAGTCTATTTGACAATATCTGCTTGCACACTGACAACACAGCAAAGTAGCAAAGTACACACACCCACAACCCACAAGTACTATTTCTTATCATCTAGGAAGATAAACAGAAAAACGAGCTAGAAACCCGAGGATCCTTAAGTTCAAGAAAAAAAAAAATCCTCTTCAGGGAACAAAGAGATGTCAAAATAACAGAGCACGGTGTCCGGGCTAACCTTCTGCTCCCGGTGATGCCTGACGGACCGGTGGCTGCCGAAAAAGATGGGCAGTATCGCCATAACGACGAGACTGCCGTAGGCGATGGCCATACCCGCGGCCGTCGGTGGCACACTTTTAGCGGTCGCATTAGCCACGCTCTCGGTGATGTTTTCCACGGCCTGGTCGACCAGCTTGTTCACAGTATCTGCCATCATGCACGCGACGTAGTCTGCAACTGAGAAGACCATATGGGATGAAATGTGTATACGTCAATGAGAGGAAAATTAAGAAAAAGCGCGTATACTTACTTACTTGTGACACGTGTGTATATCTCTTTAAAAAAATATACTTGCCCTCCGTTTTTAAGACTCTCCAAAGCTGGAGATCGAGGAGAGAATGTAGGAGGTACAGAAGATAGAAAAGAGAGCGCGCCAAGGCGCTTTTGTTTGTGTATACGTGTACAAAAAATTTATATTTAGTTGCGCGGCGTGCGCGCGTTTAATCAGCATTCAGCCGATTCAGCGGCTCTGTTCGGAAATGATGCGTTGGTTTAGTTTTTGGTTGGTACCTACCCCCACCCTGGCTTAACTAACTGACCGTGCGTTCGCACATGTAAACAATGGAGCTATTCACATAGACATTTTTTGCTTATATCGACCTACGTAACTTTACAGCCTCTGATTTTATCATTCTGGTAAAGAGAGCACGATGTAAGATATTCGTAAAATTATGTGTAATAATTGCCGCAAATAGCACAGAGAATGTCAAATTTTTATTTTAAATCTTCAAGATAAGTTGCGGCTGGTTTATAATTGACTAAATGGCTCTAATATAAGTTACAGTAATAATTATTTGGATCAGCGCTATCTAGCGTTAGGGATTTTTGAACTAAAAAGTGGCCCTAAACTTTTGACCCACAGCATTAGCGCTTAGAGCCATTTAGTCAATTATAAACCAGCCGCAACTCATCTTGTAGCTATAAAATGAAAAAATAACGATAAGTGTGTTTTTGGCGGCAAGTTAACAATCTATTTTCTACCAAAAAATCGACCTCCTATGTGTTTATACTTTTGAAGATAAATTTTTGAGCATAAGATAGACTGTTAGCCTGCCGCCAAAAACACACGTATCGTTATTTTTTCATTTTATAGCTACAAAATGAGTTGCGGCTGGTTTATAATTGACTAAATGGCTCTAAGCGCTAATGCTGTGGGTCAAAAGTTTAGGGCCACTTTTTAGTTCAGAAATTCGCTACGCTAGATGGCGCTGATCTAAATAATCATTACTTCTTAAATTAGAGCCATTTAATCAATTATAAACCAGCCGCAACTAATCTTATAAATAGATAATAAAAAGTTGACGTGGTCTGTCTTGTTTGCGGCAATTTTCATAATCTATTTTTCACCCTAAAGTCTACCTCCAAAAATATAGATATTCATATGGTTTAATAAAATCGACCATATGGCATTACTTAGTAGTAATTACTTTAATTACTACACATAACTTCACGTACATCTTACACCGAGCTCTCTTTACAAGAATTATAAAATCAGAGTATTATACGTATATATATAGGTCGTGGTGGTATATAATATAACGCCGCTCTTTGGTATCCCTATTATCGTCTGCTAGTTGTCAGTTGTGCGCGTAAGAATTTAGTGGTCTGCTGTTTAACTCTTTAAGCCCATAGTATAATATAATATATAGTTTTTATTTTTTACAATTTGATATATATACATGTAAGCGAATTCGGTATTGCTTTACGAGTGAACAAAAAAAAGAAGGAAAAGACAAGTGACATTAATGTCCCTGTCAGCACCGGTGACACACCTGCAGCGCGTCCGCAGGTTATACAAAATGGTTTTGAAATTGCACCGGGGTCTGCCGTCGGATATTAGGGAGCTCGGCGACATTTACGTGAAAGACGAATTCAGGAGACACAAGACTTGCAGTCCTGATTTGGCTAATGTTTTTCTGAACGAGTGGGCGGTTAGTTAATATTTTTCTTTCCATTTCGTACAGCATGTACACCTTATACTACACTTGTATAATCTTAAATAAGGCAGACTTGCACTATTGTTTGAATTAGTTTATGCCTCTGACCCCTCCTTCCAGCTTCTTGGCATTTTTAGTTTTGGAAAATGATGCAATTTTCATTCATGATATTACGCTTGCCCCTGTAGTGTAGTTGGATATAGCTCGTATGTATTTTCTCATGAATTAATCGATACGTTTGATCATACAGGATTATGCAATAGATCTGTCAGAGCAGCTGGGACTGCGAGGAGTGAAGACAGCAAAACCATTGGGCAAGTCGTTAGATGCGGCAAATTTGGACAAACTCAGAGAGGAGCAGGTGATCCAGTTGTATGAGTTGATGATGGCTGCAACGGGCAAAGCTGATGTGGATGAAGAAAAAAATGCCAAACCAAAAGAAACGGATGATAAAAACAGTTGACGAAAAACTAGTCGATGGATTTATGGGTCTTGTATGTTTTTTTTCATGGACTGGCATGGAAGAAGAACTTTTCAAATGAAGATGAATTGCTTAGTCATCTTTAAGGCGTATACTTAAATAGATGTTTTACTATGAGTGTGCAAAGTGCAACCTTCAATACTTTGAATAACATTACTGAATGAAGCGTGGAGTGTGTAATTAACGTTTATTGTGAGATATTAGTTTGTATGGTGCCACATGCACTGTTTGGTTTTATAGCATATAGTTAAAAGTTAAGATTACGTGAGTTTTAATTACTGGCTGAATAGTTCACAAACATTACTTTTAAATCCAGTATTTTTTAAATGTTGTTACTTTTAGTTGTTAAAATTTATAAACTTAACCTTTCTATAGTGTTGTTATACAAATTTTGTGGAAGATTATGAAATGACCGCTATAAATTCTTAATAAAATTACCAATTAAAATTATTACTGTTATTACAAATTTAACCCTAAATACACATATAAAAAGAGAAGAGAAATAAAATACCATTGATCTCTGAACAATAATCAGTCAGTGTTACTGTTTACAATTATTAGGTACATACCTCACATAATATATGCATTAAATAAACTAATATATTAATTGAGCTCTGACGTCATACGTTACATACGATATCGTATCTGAAATTTTTTTAATATAGTTGTGACACTGCATTATTTTTATGAAATACTCGAATTGTATAACGCAATCCAATGACTATAACAAGTTATAAAGAAAAGTCACCAAAATGAAATCTTGGAGGGAATCTGCTTCCATCATAATTGCTGCTAAAAATGGTCAAAAATACCATGCCACACAATCAGTACGTATATACACATTTATGTGTAAAACTACAATTTATTCAATTTGTTGCGTTTTTTCTTACAGCAATACAATTACAATTTGCTTTTCTTGAAGAGAAAAAAAGAAGCAAAATTCTCTGGTGCCTATGTGTTCCCTGGTGGTGTCATTGAAATAGCAGACGCGCATTTAAAGTGGCAAAATCTGTACAAAAATTACGGCTTTAATGAAAACAGCTTCAAATCATTATTTCCTAACACCAAAAGTCGACCGCACATATTCAATAGTAGGGAAAATGAATTGCCTAGAGAGATTTCACTACGAATAGCAGCTATTCGTGAGACATTTGAAGAATGTGGTGTACTATTGTGCGAACAGTCATCAGAAATATCCGACAAAGCACACCATTTTCCAAGTAATTCTTTACGTAACATGTCAAAGTAATGTTTTATTGAATGAAAGTTCGAAAAAATGGAATTTTGGAGAAATTATATTGAATGCATGTGTGTTGCATGTACTTAAATGTAATTAGTAACATATGTTTGGTAACTGTTTGATATAACATCTCTAAGACTCTCATCAAACTTTTTATTTTTCTTACTTATTCAGAAAATAGTAATTTTATGGTATACAAGTAAATTTAAATTATGAGTAAATTAAGTGCCAGGAAATTAACAAAGATTGTGTTGTGTACGTGAAATAATTCCAATTGTTAAATGGTTTTTCAGTTTCCAGTGATGATTTGGAATTTTGGCAAAAGGAAGTTCATGGAGATCCCAATGAATTTTTCAATATGTGTGAACAGTTGCATTGCTGGCCTAATTTGTGGGCATTGCATGAGTGGACCAATTGGTTGAGCCCTACTTTGTTTCCAGCTGCAAGGCGTTTCAACACTGCTTTCTTTTTTGCTACTATGACACAAATTCCAAGCTCAAAACTTGATTTTAGTGAAGTAGAAGAAATATTGGTGGGTAAATTTTGTTTTGAGCGATTAATAAGCTGTTATACACTTATTTACACTTACATATTTCATGCAGTGGGCAACTCCAGAATATGTGAAAAAATCTCTCATTGACTATTTACCACCACCTCAACTGTATGAAGTAAACATATTAGAAAAATATAAAAATATTGATGATTTATATAAATACGCTTTAATTAAATCAAGGAAGGGTGTTCAACTTTACTTTCCTGTAAGTTTCTAAATGAGATAAAAAAAACTGTTTTTCTGATTTTTTTTTTACTAGCTATACTAAATTTAATTAAATAAATTTTTTTTTCGTTTACAGGTAGTCACAGAATTAAGTGATGGTAAAGCTATCCTGTTGCCAGGAGATCAAATGTATCCTGAAACTGTTAATCTTTATGAACAAGAAGTTGTGGATAAATCAAACTTGACTATAAAACAATTCAACGAAATGTCTGGTGCTGTTAATAGACTGGAATTCTCAAATGAAGGAAACAAAAGTTTGCAAATAAGAACTTCCATGGCTTCAAAATTATAACGAAAAATTATATTTTTGTGCATATTTGTTTGAATAAGAGTCTGTATGCCTGTATGATTTTGGGATCAAATGTGTGCCGAAAATTTACGTATCCTAATCCACGTATAAAAACATTTTCATCGAACTATTTTTGTTGATACTTACGTAAAATAAAGTGTTATGAATATCGATCAAATTGAAAATAAAAAAACGCTAGTTTACTCGAGAATATNTGTTGATTATTACTCTTGCTATTCTTATTATGGTAATCGTCATCATCATTGCTATTATTATTTTTATTTTTATTATCATCATTGTAGTGTTGGTTATGATAAAAAAAACACGGACAAGCGTCAAAGCAGACTAAAAAACGAGCCTTTGTGCAGCAGCTGATAAATATAGCGCAGAACATACAAATCAAATCAGTACCGATAAGGTAGAATTCTGTTAAAATTTTAGTAAAAAAAAATACTCATAAATTCGGATCACTTTTGTGTGTATATTTTTATATGCTGCTGTTGTTAATGTACTAATGTTGTACTTCTAACTTTCAAGACCTTCTTTTACATGCAAATTCAAAATCAAACTTCTCGTTTACCAAGTTCAAGTATTATATTGGTATGTGACAGTCTCTTGAAAAACGAAAAAAAAAAAAAAAAAAAAAAAAAACAGTGCGCGTATATACACACGTCTGTAGCAGCAACACAACAACAACAACAACCACCCCCAATCCTTGTGCTTTTATAGGCACGGATTCTGCAGGGAGAGTTTGCGCCCTACTGCGCCCTAGATCTCGATACGATACACAAAAGTTTTTGTTGTAAATACATACAACAGATATTCTCCCCTCAACTTTTGACGAATCAGATTAATCCAATTGGGCCTCCTTGCCTCGGCTTCCTCTACTCTCCTCGATTGTTTGTTCGTTTGTCTCTCTGGGCATTTTCTCAGGTCTTTGATCCCATCGGCATAAAGTTAAACAGGATTTAGAGAGAAAGAGTACTATCAGTTGAAGATGTCAAGCGCCATCGACGAGAGGTTCGTTTGTTGTGTTTACTATTTTTTTTTTATTTTTTATCATTGATGTTTGCTGTAAGATACTGTGTTTTCGTTTCAGAGTTACCGATGAAATCGAGGCTCTGAGAGCTATACTCCTGGATGATGAGCTTCAGGTCATTGAAAACGAGAGGTGAGTTTGGGAAGGTTTGTTTTATTGGAAACTAGTAAATCACTGACACACATATTTGTTTTTGCGTTACCCTTAGTACAAGAGCAAGTGGTTATTGCTGTTTCTTGGATTTAGTTTGATTAATAATTTTGCGAGTCTCATTCCAACTGTTATTTTTTCTATTTAACGATTAAAGATTTGTACTTTTATATGACCCTTTTTTTTTAACAATGGTTCAATGTATCCTAGGAGTTGAGCATATGTTGCTATGTTTGAAAGTGAAAGTATCCAAATGAATTACATAATGTAAAATGCTGGAAAAATTAATGGAAAATTTTATGCCACTATCAACACAGTCAAGGGACAATAAAATTTTATAAGTACAACATAAATATTTATTACAATGTAACTGACATTTTTTATTTTGCTTACAGGGGTGAGCCAGAATCCATCGAGACGCTTGTCTTCCCTTCAACTGGAGAAGATTCTCAGTCTCAGTACGTATGTGTCAGGCTGGTTGTCAAACTGACCCCTGGTTATCCCGACACAACACCTATTGTCAATTTAAGAAACCCTAGAGGCTTGGATGAAGAAACTGTCAGACAAATTCAATCGGATGCCGATGCAAAGTGCAAAGATTTTTTAGGTCAACCTGTAATGTTTGAATTGATCGAGGTAACTGCTCATACGCATTCACAACTCAATAATTTAGCGAATCATTGTACTGACGAGTGTTAAAATTCCTTAAGCTTGTCAGGGAGCATTTAACAGTTAGTAATCTCCCTACTGGTCAATGTGCTGTTTGTCTGTATGGATTTCGCGAAGGGGATGAATTTACCAAGACAGAGTGTTATCATCATTTCCACTCGTACTGTTTGGCTGCTCATGTAGTCGCAGCTGAACGATACTACAGAGAAGAGCAAGAAAAATTACCGCCGTGGCAGCAAAGTACAGCAAACAAATTCCAAGTATGTGCTTTCCAAGTAGAAATATGCGTTATCTTCGGATTGTTCTAACTTGAAGTAAAGAACACCTCAATATGACAACGAGAATTGCATTACGTATACATTTTTAGGCTCTCTGTCCAGTCTGTCGAGAACCGACTAATTGCGAAGTAAAGGATCTGAAAAAAGCACCACCACCGATCGATGTAGAATCTGCGACGGACTTCTCTCTCACTCAAGAGTTGCAGGATATGCAATTCAAGATGGCCGAATTATACCTTTACCAACAGCGCCGTGGAGGTATTATCGACCTCGAGGCCGAAGGCGTCAAGCTGCTCTTGAATATCGATGATGATTCGACTGCCGAGCAGCCCAACCCACCTGGTAGTAGCCTGAATGCTGTAGCTAGTCAATCAGCACAAGTGGTGCGACACTCATTTATTTCCTATAGAATTCTTCTTACTGACTCATGCTTTGAAAAAATAAATAAAATAAATTCCATACAGCAACAATCAAAGCAGCAACAACAATCCAAACAACAACAACAGCAGCAACAACAAAGTCAATCTCAACAAAATCATAGCCAGTCACGACAATCCCACCAGCAAGCGCAACAATCTCAAAATCATCACCACCATCATCATCGTAATCATCGCGGCCGCGGCAAGGCCCACAGTCGGCGTCACTTGGACCGCATGCGACAGAACGACTCAGCTACCAGATGACAATGGGTTACCGGGAACGACAACTACCAGCAAGTATCCAAGAATCATCAATATCAGCCGCTATTACTTGATACTCATGAATACATTAACCAATTACTCGAAAGCGCGATGATGCTCGTGATCATGATATTAACCGACGTAACGATGTCCCGTAGATTGTACCACCTCCTCCGCTCACTTTATCCACTCCCTTTGGCACGTAGTCACATTAGTAGCATCAATTATTATGATAGAAATCTTCAGCCGCAAATCGGCGCGGTCATGATATTATTATAGGTATTGCTGTTCAGCAACATTCCCATTGCAACGGTGTATAAGATGGGACGTGTTGATTATTACTCTTGCTATTCTTATTATGGTAATCGTCATCATCATTGCTATTATTATTTTTATTTTTATTATCATCATTGTAGTGTTGGTTATGATAAAAAAAACACGGACAAGCGTCAAAGCAGACTAAAAAACGAGCCTTTGTGCAGCAGCTGACTGTGTTTTTACTTAAGAATACGAGTGCGGTACGATTGATGATTATATATTATTAATGGGTACGCAATTCTCACTTTGATAATAACGGCCCGTTTCGTTAATAGGTAATTTGCTGTACATTGATATTTTAAAAAATGGGAGGGAGTGGAGGGCGAAAATTACAAGTTACGTCTATGGGAAATGATTTTCACCATATGGAAGAGTAACGCGATTCGAGTACAATTTTTTTTATGGGTAACTCGAAATTTTGATTCTCTTCATTATCAAAAGAATGTGAAGAACAATCCGATGATATTGTGCTTATTTTTCATTGAAAACTTAAATACGTGTTAATTTTCCTTTTTTGGATGAAACATCGACACACGATTTAAAATTGATACTTGATTTTATAAGATCTATTGAATTTTACTCAAATCTATAAAAAAGTTTTTTAAATTTCATAAAAATATAATTTTCAAACGTGAGTTGCAATAAATAAAATGTTTTTGATATTGAAAAAAATTTTAAATATTATTTCATCACTACGAAAAATAAAAAAATTAAAACGTTGTTACATCAGACTTTACTATTCTTTCAAACTTTTCATGCGACAAAATGATTAGCTATAATTCAATGTTTGTGTATAATATTTTCTTATCGAATCGTACACGTGACTTGATTGAGTTCTTTTTAAAAATTGTGCAATGAAAGGGCACTTGATAATTAAAAAAAGGCTTTGAAATACAACTAGTTTTAATTATTATTTTTTCATTCTTTTATTTTATATGCTTGACTGTGATATTTTCAAGTAGAAAAATATTTAAGTTCCCTATTTTTATACGTTATTTTTAAATGAATTTTATTAGTAACTCACTATTTCTACCTTGAAGTATTTTTTAGTTTAAGCTTAATTCTGGATTTTATATCAATCAACAATTTTTTTTTTTTTTTTTTTTTTTCTCTTTTTACATTTGAATTTACGTTAAAATTTTCAAATCGCCAAAGTTCACGTTGAATTTGTTCCTTCAAAAAATTATTGTGATTTAAGAGCTTATTACAAAGAAAAAAGAGAATTAAAATGGATAACGGGAAATATTAAATACTTAGATAGATACATTGTACAAATTTTTTTTAGTGCGTGGGAACACTCCCCATATTATATACCGTGCCATATATGTTGCCAAAAATGAGGGTTTCAAAGTTATTTCAGATAAATTGTAATCCAAACATTTTTGCTCATCATGTACGTGAATATTGCTTAAAAAAATATATTAACAGTGTTGTCTTGAACTAGGTAAATTATACATTACCATTACCATAGATTAATCGATGAAATAAAAATATATGTAGCATCTAAATTAATTAAAATAACAAAACAAAAATTAATTATGTCAGGTTTTATGGTATTTCTGTATATTTTGTCTATAATTCGTACTTTTCATATAATTCGTACTATAAATTGTTTGCTTAAAGTAGAAAAAAAGGGTAATTCAGAAAATGTCAAATAATCTGTCTTTAACCAAAAGAAATTGTTTATTATAATTTCGATGTCACCCTTGATAATTGTCAGTCATTACATTTACATTGCACAGCATAAAAAGAGAGATGACGAGAGTTACAAAAAATGATAAGTTTAAGTTTGCACTTTACACTTTTGTAAACGTACCTGGCATCCCAGGTAAAGCCATATTATATATGATAACAATAAGTTCTACACCAAGAATTTATCCAACGACGGTGTCATTCTTTTTCTTTTAGTACTTGTCGTTTCCAATGTGTGTGTTCCCATCCTAAAGGATAATAACAGCACTAACTCGATGTAGCCGTTCCGTTTATTCAAATACAGGCTTAAACGCTTGAATTTGAACAAATTACAGATTATGTCTGTGCTGATGACTTGATATTAATAATTCTATAAACTATGTATGGTTTGATTTTGAATCAAATAAATATAAAATTATCGCACAATTAAAGTAATGTCTGCATCTATCACCAATTTAATACCGTTATCTTTTAATACTGAAAATAATGCATCATTATGCACGTAGCTATCAATCAAACACCTTTAAAGTCTAAGTTTTATACAGTGTATTTATATGATGTAACACATCTGATACTGATTTTAAAGTTATTATCATCTGTAAATAGTTCTATTTTAGTTTTATTAATTACAAAATACTTTTTATACAATAACAGTAGTATAATTTGACTACCAACTGGGAATTAATAATTTGGCAAATCTTGATCCATAATAGTTATATAAATAATCTATATACAATTATGAAAAAAGTAATACAATATTTTCCATTCTCATCATCGTAATCATCGCGGCCGCGGCAAGGCCCACAGTCGACTTTCCTGTAAGTTTCTAAATGAGATAAAAAAAACTGTTTTTCTGATTTTTTTTTTACTAGCTATACTAAATTTAATTAAATAAATTTTTTTTTCGTTTACAGGTAGTCACAGAATTAAGTGATGGTAAAGCTATCCTGTTGCCAGGAGATCAAATGTATCCTGAAACTGTTAATCTTTATGAACAAGAAGTTGTGGATAAATCAAACTTGACTATAAAACAATTCAACGAAATGTCTGGTGCTGTTAATAGACTGGAATTCTCAAATGAAGGAAACAAAAGTTTGCAAATAAGAACTTCCATGGCTTCAAAATTATAACGAAAAATTATATTTTTGTGCATATTTGTTTGAATAAGAGTCTGTATGCCTGTATGATTTTGGGATCAAATGTGTGCCGAAAATTTACGTATCCTAATCCACGTATAAAAACATTTTCATCGAACTATTTTTGTTGATACTTACGTAAAATAAAGTGTTATGAATATCGATCAAATTGAAAATAAAAAAACGCTAGTTTACTCGAGAATATCTTTTTTTTTAAAGATTCTA